GCGCGTGGTGTGGCACTTATTGATGATGGACGTTCTGTCAGGTATGCGTCTATTGCCATCGGAGTTCCGTCTGAAACTCAGCGAGACGCCTTTAGACGTTTGCGAGAAACTGGGTACTACCATAGAAAGCCCGGTTCTGGACGCGCTGGGGTAACAGAACCACAAGATGACTGTTTTTTGACTTCGAGAATTTTGCGAAAACGGTACCTCAGACGATTCATCAGCTACAGGAATTTCGAGGTGTTCAAATTTCTGAACGCGTTGCTCAAAGAAGATTAAATCAATTTGGACTGATGGCTTTTCGCCCAGTAAGAGGACCAGAATTGACCAGTACACACGGATTTGCACGGCTCGCATTTGCTCGAGAACACAGCCATTGGTCTTTGGACGATGGGTCTGCTTTACCTTTTACAGAGGAGTGTAGATTTGCTCTACGATCTTCAGATGGGGTGAAAGAGTATGGAGAAGGCGAAATGAAAAGGTACGAATGCTGTAATTTTTCCCAGAGCCGATCTTTTTCAACGTAGCTCTGTGATGGTGTAGGCGGGAATTACAATGGAGAGTTGCACAGTTGGTTGTTGTTCGTGGGGGTCTTTGACGCCCATTCTTTATGTGGATGAAATTTTCGAACATCATGCTTTGCCTACCCTCGAAGAATCAAGAATCAGCGGCAATCCTATTCTAATACACGATAATGCCCGTCCAAATATCGCATAGTATAAACATACCTTCAACAGCATTACGTCAGGGAGGTCTTAGCCTGGCCAGCCCATTCTTCAGACTTGATCCCTTCGAACATTTATCCGATAACTTCAAAAGACGAATTAATAATTTTATATAAAAATACTATCTGTTTTACTTGTTGCGTCGAAGAATGCAGTTGTAAAAAACAAAGAAAAAGTTTTAAAAAAAATACATAAAAAAATATACAAATGATATTACAAGCGGGCTGAATTTTTTGCCTGTCAGTGTACTTTTAACTAAATCCATTAATTTCATGGTCCTCTTGATCAATTAATATATTATAATTAATTAGGGTTTTTAGTTGAGATAAAAAAGTCAATGGCACGAGCGGGATTCGAACCCACGATCTTTGACTTGATACGCCGCTGCTCTACCACTTGAGCTATCGTGACCTCGATCCACTCGGACACCAACTTCCCATCTCAACCGCACCTTTTGAATTTTCCCTCCTTTCTGCCATTTTTCAATTGGTCTTATTAATTGGTCAAGCGGACCACGAAATTAATGAATTTAATGATTAAAAATGAAGTATACTTCACTAAAGCTCTCCGTGGCCATTTCATTTGTTGTCGAGAATCCACTCCGATTACACGACATTTGAAAAATAGCAAAAAGGAGGGAAAATTGAAAAGGTGCGGTTGAGATGGGAAGTTGGTGTCCGAGTGGATCGAGGTCACGATAGGTCAAGTGGTAGAGCAGCGCCGTATCAAGCCGAAGATCTTGGGTTCGAATCCCGCTCGTGCCATTGACTTTTTTATCTCAACTAAAAACCTTAATTAATTATAGTACTTTTAACTGTTATCTTTTATACAAAACCTTTTCGTTTTTATTGAATTTTATAAAAGTGAGGACCTGCGAAATTAAATATATCCAAACTAGATTTTCGTTAAATTTATTTCTAAGAATTTAAACCTGGGGGAAGTGCGGCCCAAACTGCGCGTAACATCAACATAGTTAGAACGGGAAGAACCATTGGCGAATGGTCGATTTCTAAGATTTCTTGTTGGAGATTTCGATCTCGAAAACAGGGAAGGTATATGAAAATTCATGTAAGACAACATGAAAAACTGGGGAAGAGCTTACTGTTGACCACTCAACCGTTGTTGGCCATCCGGAGCAAATTTGTAAAGTAAAGAAGCCCAAAGAAATCGACTCTTTGAAATTTCTGAATTCTGGTTAACATTTTTTTAACAACTTCATATGTAGGTAAGTTAAATAAACTTTCCTCATATGTAATATCAAATTAATGTAACTGTATATTATAATGGTTTATGATTAATTACAAATTTAATTAAACTAGGTAGGCAAACGAAATTAGAGTTACCAAGAAATAGATGTAAATTACATAAACAAGATAATTATATTTATGTCAGTCCAGTCGAGATGATCGGCCAATGCGCCAGGTTACTCAGCAAAGCGAAAAAAATTATTTTGATTTATTTTTACATTGGGTTTTCTGTCTTTATTGTGCACGGTTCATATTATATATATTTTTTCTTGGCTCCTGATTCCCATATGCAAGAAGGATGTGACATATATACAATAATTTTTGTCTTAGTACACGTAACCAAACTAACCAAAAAGAAACGGTTACCTACATCCGTAGCCACCCCATGTTGGAGCATGTTGTTAACCAGTTAAATATTAATGAAATAAAAGAAACCTATTTTCATTCAAGAGATCAGTTTATCTGTATGAGTGAATTTTTGAAATTCTTCTAGATCTTTTAACGTTTATCTTCCAAATGTTATAGGTTTTTGCAAACGAAACGACTGAAGGGGTTTAGTTAGAACATTCATTCTTTAGAAGTTTAACGTATATTTAAAAACAGACCTCAACTTTGATAACGGAGAATACTGTTTGGTTGTATGAATCCGTTTTGACCGAGAAAAAAATTAAAAATTTGTACCTTTTCGATGGAGTGAGTAAGAAATCCCAATTTTGCAGCATTCAAATCCAGTTTACTACCCAATTGGTTTTGCATCTCATATCGAACCAGGTTTTTAGAAAGAAGTTTTATGCGGCAGGTTACTCAACAATCGAGGAAAATATTATTTTGATTTTTAGTATAGTTTGGTTTTCTGCCTTTATTTGCATGGTTCATGTTATATATATTTATTCTTTGGCCTTTTTGGCAAAAGCTATCGGTAACATGTATAATATTTTTTGAAGCATATCGATAATCAATTTGCTATCAACTCGATAAAAGAAACAGAGCTTTACTTCAGAGATCCATTAAAACTATTTGAAACAATTTATCAGAATGAGTGAATTTTTGAAATTCTTCTAATATTTTCTATTGTATATTCCAAATTCTGTAGGTCTGTGTCAGCGAAAGGAGTGAATTTAACAAATATGTTTTAAACGTATTGGGTTCGAATTCGTAGTCGCTACATTCGAATGCTGGACTTTTACGATACAGTGATAAGCACTTGGATAAGGTGCTGGATGGTGACCGCCTGGGAACCCCGCGTTGGCATTTTTTTAGTCGCTAGATTGGAACCCGGGACTTTTACGATACAGTGATAAGCACTTGGATAAGGTGCTGGATAAGCAGTGATAAGTACGTGGATGGGTGACCGCCTGGGAACACCGCGTGATGTTGGCATTTTTTTAGTCGCTAGGTTCGAACCCGGGACTTTTACGATACAATGATAAGCACCGCGCCAACGCCTCAACCGTTCCGGCTACCGACCCCCTGATATATAATTATTAAATTATATACAGGTTTTTAATGTATTTCATAAAAAAATTTATGATATTGTTTTGTGAATTAAGATATTCTTGCTTATTCTACATTTACAGTTTACAATACTATTTTTCGTTCACAGTCAGTCAGTCCAATTGGAAACAAAAAATTCATATTTCACATTTGTAAAATGTTTGCATGTTCGACAGTACGTTTTACACTTACAATACTACCAACTGATATGAAAAATGTTTAATTAAGCCCCAAAGTTTGTGACCTGGCAAAGTTGTGTAAAAAGAAAATTAAAAATAGGAAAAACAAAATTAAAAGTAAATAATTTAATATGAATTTAACCTTATAAGACATAAACAAGGGGAAAAGTCAAGTTTTTAATAATAACAAACAAAGATATGGGCGTCGATGGCCGCAACGGTTTAGGCATTGATACGGAGCTCATCATTGTAAGGTGAAGGACCCGGGTTCGAATCCAGCGGTCCTGCGTTCGAATCCGATATACTTACAAACGGGCTTTTATTCAAAAACACCGGCACCCTGAGGGTTGATATGCCGTCTGCTGTTGCGAACCCTTGTAAAAAAAAGTAAAAAATAAAAAAACGAAGACCAAGGCATATGCCGCTTCTTATACAGAAAAAGATTACTCGATTTGTCTCGCATAATAGAAGCGTGTCATGCCTTGGCTATATACAAAGAGCGTGTAGGCATGCCGCCAGATTTAACAATGGTTGTCGAGCACAGCAGTAGGTTTCTGGGTCCCCTGTTCCGTTTTTACAAGACGTGGGGGTATTTTACCGTATATAGTTATATTCTAGGTGTTTAATCACCATGTGTTTTGTTTGAATGCATGTATTTATTAGTGTGAGTGGTGAGGGATCATAGGTAGGTATCACGTCCCCATCGCCCTTCAGGCAGTGTGTGTTTTTAGAGTCGATGGGGGAATATTTATAGAAGTTCCTTATCAATCCTAATTTAGTTTAGATTATTAATTCTGAGTTTAGGTCGATGGAGGAATTATTAGTCATCCACCGACTAATCAGAATGAGTGCATGCATTTATGAATGTATTTATTTGTGTGACTGATTTATCCAATTTAAGTAGTATTAGTCTAGATTATAGTTTGCATGCGTTTCGGACTGAAATGATCTTGCTGTCAATAGCTCTCTTTGGTAGGATAAGTCAATATAGGCAAATAGAATTAAAAATAACCTTCAAAAACCGGCCTTTACATAATCCTTACAGAAGCGAAGTCTAAAAACCTGACTTTTTCATATGGATTTCACTTAACACCCATTAACTTCAAAACAGTTTGCATATCGCTTTTCACGCTTTTCGTTTACGAAACAATTCTCAAATGAAACACGCAAACAAAATTTAGAACCGCTTACGAATAGATACGCTGACAGCTTTTCTGCATGTAGAACTTTTCAAACTAATTTTTACTTAAACAAATATCATTTGATTTTAATAGACGCCGCATAGTCATAGTTGCAATAGCAAAAAACAATGGCACATGTTCATTTTGATAGGGACTTGTTTTTCTATGTTCCAGGGAAACATTTGGCAGCAACTCCTCTCCTTTCATTTCGTTCTTGAGCTTGTCAACACGATACCTTTCGCAGCGACGGTAAGTAAACTGATCCAAAATATTATATTTAAGAATAACAATTATGCGATTTTTTACCGTTATTTTTATCTCTTTACCGTTTATTTTATTTATTTAGTTAAAATAAAAATTCAAATACTAAAATATTTTTTCCCTAAGTATAAGTAAGTGACATGCTATGCCAGAAAATATTCGATAATACTCAAGTATCGACAGAAATTATTCGATACAAACGAGTCATATGAGTTAGAGATAAGCATCGATTAAAAAAAACAATGGTCACCATCGATTAAACATCGGATCCTAACCATCGATGGTGGTACGATCATCGACTCTATAGTTTACACATCGATGGTTTTTTGAGTACTTATTACTCAAACCACAAATTATTTTCATATGCGCATTATTTTTATGCGCCACTTTAGAATCATAACCGGCCGGTCCCGAGTGTCTTAACCTTACCAGGCTTCCCTTCTCGCAGTGCCCTGTGCCGGACCACTTCGCCCTGGGAACGAACATTTTCCACCAGGGATGAGCACGGGGAACGTTTTCGGCTTGGAGGCCCACTTGCCCAAGGTGAGGATCACGGACAAGGGACCCGCGTCTACAATGACGAATGGTCTTTTCCTTCGACACGCCAGACACGCCGAAGTTTTTACGTCTGCCTCAACACATTCGAGAAAGACCACGTACTCAGGCATTACCAGAAGACCGTGAATAGAATCTTTCTACGCATCAAACGTGGCAGGATTGAGAAAGAAACTGTGCAGGGGATGGTCTCGAGAGGAAGGTGACCAAGTTGGCCATCGAAGTTGATGGTGGTTATGACAAGAAGAACGTCGAAACAAATGAGGTCTACAAGTCGTCTTAAGCCAGAATCACACTTACTCGATGCTACGCCATGCGACGCTAACCGATGCTACCCGACGCAAATCCAAACTCCGATTTTCCATAAGGTTGCATTACCCCCGTGCACATCTACCCGATGCTACCCGACGCAAATCCAAACTCCGATTTTCCATAAGGTTGCATAAGGTTCGAGTACAGTCGAAGACAAAAGAACGGACACTCATATTTTTATTCAAACTACATGTATTTTTGTTGTTATATTAATTACAACATACTTATTTTCATATAAACCAAATTAACTGTGATTAAAAATTAATTAGTTTTTATTTAAAAAATTAATTTTAATGGTTTGGTAGAAAATTAATCAAAACAGCGAAATACAATTTTTTGATATAATGAATTTTACTAACAATTTATTGTACTCGCTTCGGCGGTACGTATACTAAAATTGGAACAATTTATTACACGGTTTTGCTAATAAAATTTAATTAACTATTTATTTCATAGTTTCGCTCGTAAAATTACCATTTTATGATGTCGGGTAGCATCAGAACAGGACACTCAAATTTTTTGTAGTTTATTTCAAACTAAGTACATGTAATTTTGTCGTTATATTAATTACATATTATTTTAATGTAAACNACTGCAGCACTTCAAAGAAACAGGGTATCCACCAGCAGTCAAACTCGGCACCATTAGTGAGGGCAAAGGAGATGTATTCAGTTATATCGATGACGACCTTGTTGAAGACCCTTACCTAATTCAGCACCTCGCGTATTTTTGGGATCAATATCCAAAACATGAAAAAGACAAAAGTGTAGCTGAGTTTGAACTGGACCTGAATCAGAAGTATAACAAATGGTTTGCTCTACAAGAAGCCGTTGCTCAACTCAAACCAGCTTATGGACCTGACTACACTGGACTCTAGAATCTTGTTATTTAAATTCTGTAATGCAAATCATTTTCAAATTCCAGATTTTATAAACAAATACTACAAAAAGCAGATAAATTATTTAGAAATTCAGCCGAGCCAGCGGTCTATTTTAATGTTCAGATGGTAAAGTTTGAAATTGGTCTTTTATCAGGATGATATTCACATAAGCTAATTTTTCAAACTTCGCCATTTCTGAACCTTTATTAGGAACTTGATTAATAAAAATTATGTTTATTTTTTGAATAACATTTATTAGAAATTATTTTTGCCTTTGGTATCATTTATAGTTGTATATAGATCTCTCGGTCCCTTTTAAATAAAAGACGTCTATTGTTAAAGTATTTTGTGCCCATGAATTTTATTCAAAATACCTCCCTGTTTTTCTTCTATAGTTTGGGAAACATCCATAATCCACCCAAGCCCAATTTCTGTCCCTTGCTCAAAAAAAAAAAAAAAAGTAAAGGTTTAACATGTACGCAACTAAAATCAACCATATCCTTAATTTATTAGAATTAATATATCCAAATTTTACAATGGGGGACCGCGGTAGCCGAGTGGTTAGCATGAGAGACTCTCACGCCGCGGTCGTGGGTTCGATTCCCACCGTCGCCTCTGGCCCTTTTTTCCCGATAACCCCCAATTTGAACACACAAGAATTCCTACTATGGCAAATAGGCAAGATCATAAGGCCAATTAAAAAAATAAAAAAATTACAATGAAACAAAAAACGTAGCTTTAAAGCCAATTTATCCTCTAAAGTTTAGAGTCTAAACTATTTATGGTTTTTTAAATAATCTGTCCAGCTTTGGAAAATAATCGTTCAGAGGGAACAGATGTGCCACTAAGGCAACAAATTGCACTGGCAGGTTCTGATAGGTCAATTTCATGGGTCTTTCCCCTATTCACAAAAGTGGAAATTAGGAAAAACTGAAAAAGTTTATAAAACATCGACAGCCCACCATTGATGGTCACACAGTAACATCGAACATCGGTCGCCTTCCTTCGATGTTTTCTAAACCATCGAAGCTCATCCCTAACATGAGTACTTTGTCGTTCATTCATAAATGATCAATTTGGATCAACCACCATCGAATTGTGGGTAAAATACGCTCATGCGTTAGAATAAACGAAAATTTGCAGTTTTTTTTTTCATATTTTTAAGTATTTTTTAATCAGTGGATACGTAGGTAAGAACAAGGAAAAGCTGTCAACGATAAGGCGAAAAATTACCTTCCTTTTACTCTTTTCTTTTACACCATTGTAAATTATATTTACAACAATTTTCAAAATTTAATTTATTTTTTTATGTGTCACTTTTCGTTTAACATGAAGCAGCATGTAAAGGATTTCCCCGATTCTGCAAAGTGCATAGCACGGTCTTTTGTAGTAGACCTCTTTAGTAGTGGTTAATGGACGTTCATTACCCTGTCCCTATTGTTGCACAGAAACCATTCTTCATCCACCCCCGACGTTAATGTTTCGAGAAATGGATCGTTGTGCAATTAAGCGTAATGGGAACATAATGCACATAAACTTCATGTAAGCATAATGTAGAAAACAATTTATTAAGTGGTTTTTTAAATCAGTTAACGAATGGTTTATTATCTGGGATTTACTAAATAAAATCTCAGGAATGTGTTATTTTTATTTCAGATTTCAAAGAGACCCATTCATTATATATCTAACTTTAGTGGTATTCAAACTACTAAATGTTCCACTGAGGCCCCACCCTCATTCGAGCTAATAAATACATTCTTACAAAACTTATAAGTAAAAATAAAATATATTATTTATAAATTAATTCCTATTTCCTTGGTGGTTATAATTGACCAGATTAATTAGTCTTTTTATCTTTTTTCTAGATAGATAGATGAAAAATTAGTGCCACCAGTGGATTTCGGACCCACCTTCGACTGAATACGCCACTGCTCTAACTAAGAGCTATCGTGACACGAGCTGAAGGTTGCGGATTCGAATCCCGCTCATGACACTAATTTTTCATCTTATCCAAAAACATTTGTTAAAAAGAATATTATTTATATATATTTTTAAAAAATTCCTTTTCTTAACGGCGTGTTTACAAGTAAATACATTTTGATCATAAATATTTTCTTAGAGATATCCGAAAGTCGTGGGTTCGAATCCCGCTCGTGACATTAATTTTTCATCTTTACCAAAAACATTAGTTAAAATAATATTACTTACATATATTTAAAAAAATCCTTTTGTTATTGGCGTGTTTAGAAGTTAATACATTTTGATCATAAATATTTTTTTTAGAGATATCCGAAAGTCGTGGGTTCGAGTCCCACTCGTGACATTAATTTTTAATCTCTACCAAAAACATTAGTTAAAATAATATTACTTACATATATTTAAAAAAATCCTTTTCTTATTGGCGTGTTTACAAGTTGATACATTTTGATCTTAAATATTTTATTAGTGATATTTTTAATATCCTTATGACCTGACCCGAGCCGAACGTCGTGGGTTCGAACCCCGCTCGTGACACTAATTTTTAACTCAATGAAGATCATAAATATTTTCTTAGGGATATTTTTAATATCCTTGTAAAATAAATAAAAATGCATCGTGTTTGTATTTATAAGTATTTTAGAAATGGCCAAGACCTATCCACCATATTCACGCCGCACCGCAACATCTATAAACCTCTTCAGACAAATGAAATCGAACAAATCTCTTTATTTTCCTGCTAAAACCTTTTCAACTTCGTACATTGAACACGTAATCAGTCATCTCCCCCCTCACAAAGAGTCCTGGATTTGATTTGATTACGTGTCAAATTCTTTCTTATCTACCAAAAGGCCTTGTTTTCTTTAGGTCTACAATTCCTTCATTTTCCTACCATTTTCAAATTGTCTGATATAATTCTTTCCCAGAGACCAACCAAACCTGTCACTTTTCCATTATCCTACCTATTATCTTCCCTCTAATGAATAAAAGTCTCGAGAAACACTTAAACGCCTTTACCACACCATAGACTACATTCTGTAATTCAGCAATATTAGAGACGGGCAAAGTTGTCCTTTGTGGACGTTCCTTTTGGGACAGTTCTTTTTATTGATCTAGTTCAGTGAAGCACTATCTAAAATGAACTGAAGTACTGAACTGTAGAGCTCCGACAGGTTATTTAGGTCCCGTCTTTCCATGATGTTATATTTCCCCACGTCCGAAATGGTTGCTAGTTGAACTAACTCACGAAATACAACAATGAACT